AATGTCTGCCCATCTTCCTGCCACCCCGTGAGCGTGACGGACCTGCCGTCAGAGCTCCTGCTCACGCACGCGCACACACACACACACTCACACACTCACACACACACACATTCACATTCACACACACACACACTCACACATACACACTCTCACACATACACACTCAAATTCACACACACATTCACATTCACACACACACACACTCACACATACATACTCTCACACATACACACTCAAATTCACACACACTCACACACACACATTCACACACACACTCACACACACACACTCTCACACACACTCAAATTCACACACACACTCACACACACACATTCACATTCACACACACACATTCACACACACACTCACACACACACACACTCTCACACACACTCAAATTCACACACACTCACACACACATTCACACACTCACACACACTCTCACACTCACACACACTCTCACACACACACTCACCCCACCAGGAATCTGATCATCTCAGTCTGAGACGGCAAACAGGAGGAGTGGGCAGGTGCCCTCTGAGGGGACAGCTGGTCACGGTGAGAGTGCCTTCTGGGATGTAGAACTTCTGCTAAGGGAGTGAGGAGCAGGAGCCACTTGGCCAGCAGCCCCACAGCCACTGCCCATCACTCTCTGTGCGGCACACGTGTGCCCGTCAGGTGCACGTGCAGGCACATGGCATGTGTGTGTGTGCGTGTGTGTGTGTGTGTGTGTGTGTGTACATGGAGGCACGCGCAGGTGCACAAAGCTCATGGGCCAGGTGACAGCACAGCCGTCTCTGTCCTCTGCTCCCACATTCCAGCCCTGCACACTGCACACCCTTTGGGTTTGGCTTCTCCAGGGTGGGGACGAGGCTGAGTCCTCCCACCTCTCTGGGCTTGTCACGGGTTCGCTCGGTGACCAGGTCCTGGCACTCCTCTGGCACCTCTAGGTTCTGTGAGGCTGGTGCTTCTGCATTTGCTTCTCAGAACAGCAGGGAACAGGTGATCCCAGGGCTGAGCTGCCCTCTTCCTGCCAGCAGTTTGGTCCTGATGCTGGACTCCCTCCTGGCCCAGGGGAGCTACCTCGGCCCAGTGTGAGCAGGAGCTGTAAGGCCCAGTGACATCCCTGTCACTCAGCAGCTGTGGGTGCTGCACCCCACCCCCATCCTGGGCTCCACATCCAGGTGTTCTGGTGCAGGGGTCAGAAGCTACGCACAGGTTTAGAACAGGAGTCAGCGGACAGCGCTGCGCCCAATCCAGCCTGCTGTGTGTTTTCTTAAAGTTTTATTAGGACCTGGCCACACCATTGTTTACATGTTGTCTGGAAAGCCCAAAATAGTTGCAATCTGGCCATGCACAGAGGGAGTCTGCTGAGCCTTGATTTAGAAGAGACCTTAATCGTGGTCTGTTCCAGCCCAGCACTCCGTGCCCTTGGGTCATGGCCAAAAGGGCCAGGTGTGGTGACCAGGAACACCGGTTAGCAGTGATCTTTGTTCAGTGAATGGAGCACATTCTAGAAAATAAGAACAAAAGCAAAATGCACCAGGCCCTCTCTGAAACATTGTCTCTGCTGAGTTTTAGGCAAGCCTGTGACCCACAGGTGACATCCAAAGTACAGACGCACCAGTGGACACTCAGAAAAGTCAAAGGCGAATTCTAGTTGGTGTCCACCACCATCGTGCTGCCTGGCTTTGGGAGCCTCGGGAGGCAGGGCCAGGGAGGTGCCCTGCAGCCTGCAGTCCTGGGAGGGGGCAAGTGGTGAGCTGTGCTCCTGGGGACTCCCGGGAAGGGGGCGTCAAAGTCGTATTGGGCTGGGCCAGGCTCTGACCTCCACACCTTCCACAGACCCTTCCGTGCTCCAGTGGCAGAGCTGGTAGCTCATGGAGAGGGTCTGGCCACAGAGAGCGCATCTCGCCCGACAGAGAAAACTCGCCGGCCTCCAGTCTAGCTAAACCCGGGTTCCCTGTGCGCCCAGGCCCAGGTCGTCCCCCCACCCACTTCCCTGCCGTGTTGGGCGGCCTCTCCCCTTCACTTCCTCTCCCAGCAGCTCCTCTTCACTCCCACTGTCCCTGTGTAGGTGTTGGGGAACGGGGTCCCCATCAGTGAGATTTTCCAGAAAGTTCCTTCCTGCTGTGATGATGGAGCTGGCAGAGGCCGTGGGCTGCTTGGCTGCAAGAAGTGGTGAAATCCATGCTCTTAGGACATCAGTTCCCTCCCCCGCCGCCTCCCAGGGAGCTGACCTCTGTGGTGAGCTGACCCAAGGACACGGTAGAGAGTTGTCTGGACAGCGTTTTAGGGCGGTACCTCTGGGCCCTCCTAATTGAGCTCTGACTTTGAGAGACACCCCCTGATGGCCCCCCCAGCTCCGCACCCTGTTCCAGTGGGGACTGGGGAGGAGTTGGGTGGGGGGCACTCAGGGAAGGCTGAGGTCTAGTTCGCTGCCCCCAGCCTCCTCTTCCATCCCTCCGGTCCCTGAGTATGTGTTGCGAGGTCCTCCGTCAGTAAGATTGGCCAGAAAGTTCCTTCCTGCTGTGACGATGGAGCTGCCAAGGTCTTAGGCAGCAAAATCCCATTTCTGCACCCAAACCCAGCCTCTCCCCCCTGAAAGCTTGAAATGGGGATGGTCTTTGGAGACTCAATAGGCAGAGGCATGGCGTCCACAGATCTTTTGGAATGGGGCAGTCCCTCGGCTGCAGAGAGGGACATCTCAGCTCTGCACTGGCCTGGCCAATATCGGACACAGGCCCTAGCCTGTCTCTGAAGAGATGACCATGCCTCTAGCATGGAGGGAGCCCTCTGTCTCACACCCAGAAAGGAAGGTGACAAATGCCACCTGCTCACAGGATAAGGGCCCCTGAGCACCCAGCATTCACATGGAAATGTTCTGCAGAGAGGGAGTCTGCAGGAGGCCCGGCCACCCTGAGGCTGCGGCCCCACCCCGACTCTCCCCGGCTGAGAGGAAGGCGGCTCAGTTTGGTGCCACCTGCTGGCCCTGCCGTTCTGGGGCTAAACAGGAGGCCATGACTCTATGGTACCCAGCTGTCCCTGTGTCTGGCAGCCTCCCCGACATAGACCTTTTGTGTTCTCTTTGTCCCCTGTCTTCAGGAACCTTAGTGCTTCTTGGGACAAGTGACCCAGTGTGACCCTGTCCCCAGGGGCCAAGTTCAGTGGCCTCCACCCAGCTTCCTTGAACTCTTGTTGTTAAGTTTATTTATCCTCACCGTGTCCGGTTGATCCTAGGCTCCTGAAGAGATGACCGTGCCTCTGTGGTCATCTCCCAAACCCAGTGGCGAACACCCCTCCCAGAGGCCAGGGAGGTCATTCATTCTCCTCCGTTACACCTGGCAGCAGAGTGCCCTTCCACTCAAGGACGGTTTTGATGGTGGAAAGCACTCGGCTCTCGAGTGAGGCCCAGGAGCCCAGCAGGGCAGGTGATCTGCCCTCATCTGAGGCCGGACACTGAGAAGTGGGGACATCCTGCCCTCCTGCTGCTCTTCCTGGGCTGCGGGGTCGGGGGGATGACAGGAACAGATGCAGTGAGATCTCTGTGTCCCCTGAGGAATCCAGGGGACAGTGGAGCCCGAGAGGGAGGACAGCCCCCGGAGTCGGGCTTCCTCCCAGTAGGTCATCGAGACCTGAAGCGCGACATTTGGCTTCTAGCTGAAGGGCGGGCGGACAAGAGAGGCGCTGGTCTTCTAGGTGTTAGCCCCAGACAAGGGGGAGGGGGTGAAGGTAAGGCCGGCCCTCAGCTGAATGGGGACCTGCCCCAGGCCCTTGAGAAGGGCATCGCTGGCTCCTCATTCTGGGTGGGACAAGACCCGTTGGGGGGCTGCTGCAAACTTAGGGGTGCCGGGAGCCTCCGGGGTCCTTCCCACCCAGTGCACACACATGCCCCAGGTTGAGTTTCCGGTCTACGTCCTGGTTCCTTCCCAGGCTGTCCGTCCAAGGCACCTGGCTGTATTGGAGGAGAGAGGGGAAGGCTGGGATTTGGTGTCTTCTACAGTCTCTGCTGCTCCTTGGGCTCTGCTGTCCCCTCTCTGCAGCGAGGCAAGGACAGGACACCTCCCTTCGTTTTGACCATGAAGGTGCCCACTGCATCGTGGCCGGCTCTGGGCTGCGCTGCACTGCCTGGGGCTTCTGCCCCCTGAGACCCTGGGGGTGTCCCCCGATTGTCTCAGACTGACCCAACACATTGAGAATGGTGTCGGCCTTCAAGTCCAATCTCCATGCAGACCGCAGGGCACGGAGCCCCTTCCCTTTGTGACAGCATAGCCACGGGAACAGGGGAACAGGGGACATCTGTGCCCAGGCTCCGGGCTGCCCCTGATCAGGTGTGAGGGGAGCCCGGCGCCAGGCCCCGGGACCCGTTGGCACGGGCAGCCGTGCTCTCCTAGGTAACTTTCCCTTCACCCCGCGCTGCTGCTCACCCGGCCTCCTGTTTTTCTTTCCATCCATTAGACGCCACGGAATGCTCCACAACGTGCGGAGGTCTCCTAGCAACCTTCCTTAGGAATTCTGCCTGGCCCCGGTTAGAAGAGTGAGCTGAGGCCCGGAGATTGATGAGTTTGCCCTGGGAGCCAGCGGGAAGGTGAAACCAGGCGAACATGGGTCAGAAGGTCACCGGAGGGATCAAGACGGTGGACATGCGGGACCCCACATACCGGCCCCTGAAGCAGGAGCTCCAGGGCCTGGATTACTGCAAGCCCACCCGGCTGGACCTGCTGCTGGACATGCCCCCCGTGTCCTACGACGTCCAGCTGCTCCACTCCTGGAACAACAACGACCGCTCACTCAACGTCTTCGTGAAGGAGGACGACAAACTGATCTTCCACCGGCATCCGGTGGCCCAGAGCACAGACGCCATCAGGGGCAAAGTCGGGTACACGCGCGGGCTGCACGTGTGGCAGATCACGTGGGCCATGAGACAGCGGGGCACACACGCCGTCGTGGGGGTGGCCACAGCGGACGCCCCCCTGCACTCCGTGGGGTACACGACCCTCGTAGGGAATAACCACGAGTCCTGGGGCTGGGACTTGGGGCGGAACCGGCTCTACCACGACGGCAAGAACCAGCCGAGCAAAACGTACCCGGCCTTTCTGGAGCCGGACGAGACGTTCATTGTCCCTGACTCCTTCCTTGTGGCCTTGGACATGGATGACGGGACCCTGAGCTTCATTGTGGATGGACAGTACATGGGAGTGGCTTTTCGGGGACTCAAGGGCAAAAAACTGTATCCTGTAGTGAGCGCCGTCTGGGGCCACTGTGAGATCCGTATGCGCTACTTGAACGGACTCGATCGTAAGTGTTGCCTGCTTTGTCGGAGGCAGTACCCTCCCCATGTCCCTGTGGTCCCGTCTGGGCTTGGGCTACAAGTTTATGCAGCTGTTGGGCCTAAAGTGTTTTTAAGTAGATGTCCTCATGTATTCAGACCCTCAAAGGCCACTCTTACCTGCATCTGGTTCCATGAGAAACTCTAGCCTGAGTTTGCTGAATCATCTGGCATTGCTGGATGGCTGGATGGCTGGATGAATGAATGAAGAGTGGGTGGATGGATGGATGGGTGGACGGACAGATGGAATGAGTGGCTGAATGGATCGGTGGATGAACAAGTGGATGGATGGAATGAATGGGTGGATGGATGGATGGATGAAGGGATGTGTAGATCGTTAGGTGAATGGATGGGATGCGTGGATGGATGGATGGATGGATGGATGGTTGGTTGGTTGAATGGATGATGACTAGATGGATGGGTGATGGATGAAACAAATAGATGGATGAATGATCTTTGTTTATCTCTGATTAGCCTGCCTCCAGGTTTGATCTGCAGTTGACCAAACTCCAGCATGGTACCCAGCCTATTATTGAGTTGGGATTTGCAGCCTTGGGGGTGCTAGGCCCTCTCAGATAAATGAAAACCATTGGCCTCTGTCACTCTTCAGACAAATTTTGGGTTTTTGTCTCCTGGTGCTAGAGGCTCCTTTCAGACACTGTCCCAAGAGCGGCGCGTTCATTCACGGTGTCAGCAGACTGGGGGAGGAGCCTGTGGATTAGAAACAGGCAGCAGCAACAGCAGGTTCTGCCTGCTCTTTTGGAAAGGGGAGTGGCTTTTGTGGGACTGTGTGAAAATAGTTTGTGTGTGGTGGGAGGCGCAGGGCTCTGTGTCTGCCTGGCGAGGTGCCTGGGCTAGCAGGAGGTCCTGGCATTCCAGAACTGTCTGCCCCACGCTGGGCCCCACGCTGGGCTCTTTGCCTCGCAGGTCCCTTCTGCCTGTGTATCCCACCTCTGGAAAGGAGTGGGTCAGGAAGCTCCATCCGCCCCGTGGGATGACTGTCTTTAAGAGCAGGTTTGGCCTGACACCCTGAATCCTAGCCCTGCCCTACAAGCCAAGCGGGCAGTGGGAAAGGCCCCCCTGGGGTTATGTGCATTTGCTTGACCATCTCACGGACTCCAAAACTGCAGGTTCTCCTGATGGTCGTCCTCCTCCTCCCCCTCTGCCACCGCCCACTTCACTCTTTGGAAAATACTGAAACGTGGAGGGTGGTCAGGCGTGAACTAACTCTGAAGGCTTTCTCTTTGAAAGCCTCCCCTCCGCTCTGTCTCTGGATCGATCCTCCCTTCTGGCTCTGTCTGAGGAGGGACAGGGAGCTGACAGCCAAATGGGGCAGCATGTCTGCGGGCGGGTTCCCCGTTGCTCCATCCTCACCTGAGGTCATGGCATTCCCAGCAGCGGGGCCGGGTGTGCATCCAGCAGGGGACTCCTGAGGAATTCACCTGAGACCTGCACGAGGGAACCACGAGAGCGAGTTCTGTGAGCCATCTCCCCAGGTGACAGAAATGAGCAGCCTAAGTCCACAACCAAATTTGTCCCCTGAGTGACGGTAAAGGAGCCGAGATGGGCAGGGATTGGGAGCCCTGGGCATATGCTGCCAGCACTTAAGATCTTGGGGATCCCTGGCCCTTGGGCCAGCCTCCATCCTCCCAGCAGAGAGGTGCCATGGAGCTAGCGAGGTTAGGGTTCATTCTGTGCCAGATGAGGGGAGCCTACCATCACAGCCTGGCCACCAGGACTATGGTCCCTCTGGAAACGGGCCTGCCAATACTGTCACAAGTCCTGTGAGCCACACAGCTTTGCCGTCTCTGTGTCCTTGCACTAGGACAGAATACAGACCTGGAGCACCGGGAGGGGTCTGGGCCTGTGAGTCCTGGTGATATAGGCACAGCTCAGAGTTCTGCTGACACAGTCCCCGAGGCCCAGACACAGGTCCTCTGACACATGTCCTCTGACTAGGTGATGCTTATCCTGCATCTACTGGGAAGTTGAAAATGTTTGTAATTTTTCTTGATTGAAAAATTCTAGGGATTGGGGGAAGGAGAGAATGGGCATGTGTGGTTGGGTACGGTACCTGTGAGCTGGAATCTGCATGGAGACTCCAGCCGTCACACCAGGACACTCTTGGTCAGTGATGAGGAGGCCTCCCCCACCCATATGCAGATGCACACTGAGGCACTGCCAGGGCCTTTGGCTTCCTGTCTTCCCCCATCCTGGCCGGGCACAGTTGACTGGAGGATCCAAATGGGAACATAGACATACACGGCCAGTCCCTGGGACATGGAGCAGAACTCCAAGGGTGGGGCCTTGTCAGCCCCACTGCAGGACTGGGGTAGGGTGAGGAGCCATGTGTTGGAGCCACGAGCATTGACCTGCTGAAACAGATGCCCCAGGGGCTTGAGTATGGGGAGCAGTGGCTCATGTCTTGTGTAGAAATGGACAGTAGTGGCAGCCATGTCAGTTGACGGGGTGAGAGGTGACCAGCATTGGGCCGGGTGGGAGCTGTGAAGGTGGTGAGGACAGGACTGTTAACTGGTGAGATGGAGAAGCCAGAGGGTGGAGCAGGCTGAGGGGCCAACGCTAAATTTGAGAAGTTCCTTCAGTACATCCTGATGGCCTACAAGCCTGGAGTCTGGGACAGGGGTCAGGGGAGAGTCACCAATGCACCGAAGGCACTTAGAGCTGTGCTCCCCCAGACCTCTCATCCATTCCTTTAGCCCATGGACCAGGTACAGAATTGCACCCTTGCAGTGTGAGCTGGGTCCACGTCTCCCAGAGAACCGTGAGAGTCACGGCTGGGGCTCCAAATGGCGCCAGTTCAAATAGGCCATCAGGTGGCCTTTTCTCATAGCCGTGCAGAAGTTGGCTCCTGGGCTCCTCCAGGTTCTTGACCTTCGGGTCCCTGAAGTGGGACCTGATTTGCTTTCTTATTTCTTTGCTGCATGTTCATCCACTATCGGTCTCTCTCGTTCGTGTCACTTGTTAAAATGAACTAGTATCTTAGCCTCTGGGGAATGGGCATAGGACCAGGGGCCCTGGTCAACACGACAGTGCCCACCAGCATGGTGGACTTTCAGTGGGCACCTGGGCTTGTGGATGGAGCGGGATACAAGGCTCACAGCCCACAGTCAAAGGTCCTGAAGTGGGGGAGACCTTCTGGGATTGGTGCTGACACCAAATTGGTAGGAGGGACATTTCTCCAAGGCACAATGCCCACATCCATTTCTGTGGCCAGTGTGTTTTGTCTCCGTCCAGCCTTTGAAGATAGATCACCACCCTGTGCGCCGTTGTTTTGCTTCCTGCCTGTGACATCAGGGGAGTGTGACATGTTTGTGTACTTGTGGCCCCAGAGAGTAGACCCATCCACGGGATGCCTGGGTGACTCTGGCATATTTTCAGCTCATAATAAACATCACCATAGCCATTAACTGCCCCCTCTGTAGCCAGTCCACGAAGATCCCACGGCCCCTTCCCACACAGCAGGAACCCCCACACCCCACTGCTGCCATGTGGGGTAGAACGAGGTAGCTGCTGGGTCCTCTTGGAGTCTTTGGCTCTCAGACTGTGGTCCCCCAACTTTGGTTTCCCTGTCTGTAGGTCAAGGCCACAGTCCCCATAAGATAGACCATGGGTGCTCCACACCCGATGCCTGTTGCTGGTACTACAATGTCACCCAGGCCTCTGCTGCACATTGCTCCACAGGGGTATTCGTGAGGTGACCTGGAACCCATCTAGCCAAGAGGGTGGCCATGGGAGCATCCTCCCAGCCCTGGCTTTGCAGCCTGGCAGAGAACCTGGGCCACATTCAGTGGCTCTTCATGCTTTCTCAAGTGCCTTCAGACACTAGGGGAAGCCCCCGTCCCCCTAGTGGGAGCCAGTCTGCGTCCTCCAGGGAGGAGACTCAGCTCTTTGGACCTCTCGAGGGGCGGATGGAAGGCTCTGGGCAGCCATGGGTATGCACTCTTGAACTGCACCCTGCACCATGCAGAAGGGCTTCCTGTCAATGGCCACGCCCCAGCCCAGAGCTGCCGCGAAGCCCTTCAGGTTTTCAGGGTCTTGGCTGGACAAGGCTTTGGTCTGGAGTCCCTGTCTCAGGACAGGGAAAGTCATGGGCTCCAAGTCTTGTTGTGTGCAACGGGGAATGAGAAGCCAGGTCCAGAGTGTCCTGGGTGTAGACTGAGTAGGCAGGTGAGGTTGGAGGGGTCCTTGGTCCTGAAGGATAGAGGGTCACTTAGTTCAACCTCCTGGTCTGGGCAGGGCTCCTGGATTTCATCCTGAGCTGTCCAGGAAAAGCCCCGGTTCAAAGCTTTCCATCAACAATGTTCACCATCTCGGTTCTTCTGTCTAGCTGTAGCCGTAGCTGCCTGTAGGAAGGGGAAGAGCAACTAGGGCTTTCCTTCAAAGTCTGGAATTTAGTAAGTGCATTATCCAGCCTAAGATTTACTCTGTTCCAATAAAAGCCTCATTGAGATATAATTTGCGTGCCATCTAGTCCAGCTACTGGAGTGTTCCGATCATGGTGTCTAGTGGTACAACCATGACCACAGTCAGCTCCAGAACATTCTCTTCACCCCAAAAAGAAGCTCCTACCCATCACTAGACTACTCCCATTTCCCCAGCCATAAGATTTGCCTTTCAACATTCAAGGCTTTTAATGTCACTTTAAAATTGAATTGAATTGCATATATTTATTGTTCGCAGAGCTGGGATCTGAACCCAGAGCCTGGCACATGCTAATAAGCACATGCTGTTCTGAGCTACACCCAGAATATTAATTAATATTTCTTAATATTTTTGAGGCACATTGGTGAATATCAAAGGACTTTTAAAAATAAGAATACACTTTTTAATCAATGGAATTGAATTTTTTTCCAGTTTTTTTGGTCTGAACTTTATTTTACTCCCAAAGAAGGCTCACAGTCAAGGGGAGACCATGGACAATGCCTCAATCCATTCATTTCTGCTCTTTCCACCCTCAGAACCCAGCAGGTGTGGAGCAGTTCCAGGTGTGCTCACCTGTGGTTGCTCTGGGGCAGAGAGGAGCTGTCTTGGGGAGGCTGGGTGAGCCGAGCTGTCTGAGGTCTCAGCAGCCTGGCGGGGGGGGGGCGCTGCAAAGCCTGAGAAAGGGTGATTTTCAAACCCCTGAGATGCCAGCTGGCCAGGTCCTCCTCTGTAGCAAGGCAGGGACTGGGCCATTTGGGAACTGAATGGAGAAGATTCCGAAGGCTTTAGGGGTAGGTTCCCTTTCTTCTGGGTGTCCGCAGCGCCTCTGCCTGGGAAATACCCTGGTGGTGCCTGGGACGGTGCAGGGAAGTGGCCCCCGCTGTCCTTGGGGCATTTACAGGTTCCCTGAGCCACCCAGTAGGGCAGAAAGCAGCCCCAGGACCTGGGGTTTCTCGGGCTCCAACCTGCCTGCCAGTGGGAGTGGCCAAACCCTGTGCTATCAGGCTGCGGGGGCAGCTGGCTGGGAAGGCGCCTCAGTGCCACCAAAGACAGGAACAGTACCTGTGGGGAGCCCGGGGATGGCCTGGGTTCAAGTCCCAGCTCCGTCTCCGACAACCCAGGCAAGGTGTTTAGACTCTGTCCATTTCCTCTTCCCTAAAATGGGGATGATCATCATGGCATCTCTGTGATCGCACCACTCACGGCAGCCATCAAGGGCACGGAATGAGTCAGTGTGGGCAGAGGACTTTGGAAACTTCTAGGTTAGCTTCTCTGCACTTAGAAATCAGCCTTGCTCTTCACTCATTGCAATGCTGTGAGCAAAGGTGGCCGAGTGCATGTGGACGCTGCCACTGACCTCCGGTTCTCTCTCTGGCTTTTCCCAGCCGAGCCCCTGCCGCTCATGGATCTCTGCCGTCGCTCGGTGCGCCTGGCCCTGGGGAAGGAGCGCCTGGGTGCCATCCCTGCGCTGCCGCTGCCTGCCGCCCTCAAGGCCTACCTCCTCTACCAGTGACACTCTGCCCCAGGACTG